CCCATTGAACAATTGCCCCCCATCCCCACCCCCCTCCAGCCACACTGGCCTTGGTGTTATGGAACACACCAAGCACACGCGCTCCGGCGGCCTTCCCCACGGGCCGGGTGAGGGGGCAGGGAGGCCCCGCGGAAAAGTAAAGTGACAGCAGCGTCCCGCGCGCGGGCTGAGCCGTGGAGGGGATGAGCGAGGGGCGTCCCACGGAGAAGGAATGGCTGGGACGGGGAGAGGTAGGGGAAACCGAGGCTCACGGGGCGGCTTGAGGGGAGGGGACGCGGGGACCTTGACGGGCACGCGCATTAAAGGGAAACACTGGCTGGGGGTGGGGGGTGCCCCCAAGACGGTGCAGGGGGCGGCGAGGGACGGAGAGGCCTTTTACCCCCCATCCACTGCAGCCCTTGACTTCATACTCGCCTCAGAGCTTTTGCAAAGTAGCTACAGGGACTGACCCTCTTGATTCACTAAACCAGACTCGTGGACGCGTGGTGTCCACATGCACCCAAGACAGGAAAACTTCACATTGGCCTGGAAAGTTCGCCCAACCTAAGTCTGACTCTTCACCCGACGCTACAGCCGAAGGTCCTTCAGCCTTTTGGATCGCCCTGGTCCAGATTGCCCACCTGCAAGTAGCTAGGATCTCCAGGCCATTTAGCACTGGGATATTGCAGAGGGGTGGGGTGTGGGGGGGGGGGGGGGGGGGGGGGGGGGGTGTACAGCGCTATAAGTTGAAGAGTATGGGCACAGTAGCAGTGCTGTGAGTGGCCTGAGGGAACATTAGGTTCCCCTATAACTTCCACCCCAAATAACCATTTTTCTAAAAACTGTGCCTGCTTTGCAAACTCAGCTTCCACGAAATTTCCCCCACACCCACCTTCAGCCCCTCTTACCAGTTGAGTGCTCCTAAACCTCTCCTATGTAGAGACTCTGGAGCTGTGTGTGTGGAAAAGTTGTCCTGCCCAGACAGGGCTGAAGACAGACACCCCCCGCTCCCCGTCCCCCCAGGAAAGGGGGGACCTAGACCGGGTCAGTTGAATATAGCCTAGTCAGGCAGTAATTTGGTGAGGAAAAACGGCTGACGAGGTGCCCTGAGCCCACCACGGCAATGAACAGAATTCAGAGCAACTTAAGCAGCCTGAAGATATCAGTGCAATAAGTTGTCAGAAGACAGGAACAGGTCCAGAGCAATACATATGTCTAGATCTCAAAATTCTTTTATCAAATGTCTTCAAAAATTGACTGTTACTTTATAACATCCCTGAAAATTGCCGAAAGCAAGTATTGGCTTCCAGTCTCTGTAAATCACCATTGAGCAAAAAGTGGGTGCATTCTTGTGTATCACTTCTATGTGACACTCAAGCATATCAACAAGCCCTGTTACCTTTAAACTCGAAATTAGCATATCCTAGAATTTCAGTTATATAGCCTCCTATATCTTTCAGGTGGTGCAGGAAATTTGTTATAAAATTTATCATATTTGCTTTTTAATATTTAGAATATGACCAAATAGGGCATTTCATAGACTGCCGTAAATGTGCATAATTTATCTCATAAAACCTTTGTATGCTATTATTTTCATTTTACTGATTGTGTTTCAAGTATACAGAAATATCAAAGCCTTCTGTGTGTTTTGCAACTACTGCGATTAGTGAGGATAGATGACAGAATGCCCATTTCCTAGGTATCCATGCTTTTTTCCAAACAAACTCCTCTTATACTCTTCTGTATATATCCTGGGGTTTTATTTGTTAGCTTACAGTAAACTAACAAATATTTTATGACAAAGTACTGTTACAGAAAACATCAAAGTTGTTTTTCAGTCCTCAGTCATTGGCAGCTGGGGGCCAGGGAGGCAGCAATGTCAGCTTCCATCTTTGTGGAAAGAATTGGAAGAGGTTTCACTGTTTTGTTCTGGTTTTGTGGGTTTTTTGTTTGTTTGTTTGTTTCTTTTTTTATTGAAACATAATTGATTGTACATATCTGTGGGGTAAGGTGTTGAATATCAAGGTTTCACTGTTTAATTGCTGAAACTTTGTCATTACAGTACTTCATTTGTCTGTAGATGTTTTAACTGCCATTTACTACTTACTGAGTTTTAAAACGGTGTAATACAAATCAGAGTCACTGTTTTCATTCATTCAAGGACTATCTATTGAGTATTAGGCACTGTCTAGGTGGTATGTCTAGGGGTATGACATTGAGTAAAAGAAAAATCTCTGTCCTCACAGAGCTTCCCTATTCCTGACCCTTCTCTGTTTTACATTCTACATACAATTCATCAGCAAATTCTGTTGACTCTGCTTTTGAGAAATTATCCTAAAAGTGTCCCTCCTTCCCACTCCCATCCCCACTGCTAATGCCCTTGTCCAAGCCACTATCATCTCAGTAATAGGCACTTATCAGATCTTTCTACTACCCCCTACCACCTCCATTCACCCCCCCCCCCCCCCCTTCCCCCCCCCCCCCCCCCCCCCTTCCCCCCCCCCCCCCCACACACACAGAG